GTTGCGATCCGTTGCCGGACATGGAAAAAGACAAAAAAAAAAAAAAGAGTGAACTCAAAACTTGCCCAGTATTATTATATTTCCCATTGATCTCTTAAAAAATAGAGACATAATTAACACAACATAAAATCCACCATCATAAATGGCTAGCAGAGAGGAGATTGAATGTCCTCATCACAAAGAAATGATTAGGTTTTATAATGATGAATATGCTAATTACCCTGATTTGATCAGAACACACTGTATACACGTATTGGTATTCAACTTTGTATCCCACAAATATGTATAATCAATACATTACAATTTAAAAAATCACCATTTTAAAGTATACAATTCACTGAGTTTTAATATATGCACTATGTTACACAATCATCATCACTACCTATTCCGGAACATTTCTATCACCCCCCAAAAACCTTGTACCTATTAGTAGTTAGTCCCAATTCCCCTCTCCCATAGCTCCTGGAAACCACTAGTTTTTCTTTCTCTATGGATTTTACCTATTCTAGGCATGTCATATAAATGGAATCATATAATATATAGTCTTTCGTGCTCTGGATTCTTTCATTTAGCATAATGTTTCCAACATCCATGTTGTAGCATATAATTTATTCCTTTTTATTGCCAGATAGTATCCCATTATATGAATGTACCACAATTTTGGTTATCCATTCATAAGTTGGTGGAAGCTTGGTATAATTTCCAGTGTTTTACATGGTTGGGCCAAAACCAGAATGAAGACTTGGGTGTCCAACTCCCAACCTGGTGCTGTTTTTACATCTGAGCATATGTATTATTTTAAATAGTAGTGGTTTGCTCAAATAAACCCTTACAAACTGGCTACCTACTCTTAGGATTTTATACATTTATAAGATTTTTTCCAATATAAAAACAAAACAGGGCCAGCCCGGTGGCGCCCTGCTACAGTGCGCCGCTTGGGAGCGCAGTGGCACTCCCGCCAAGGGTTCGGATCCCACATNAAAACTTGTTCAGGCTGAAGGTAAATGTCCAGGAGGCCTAAGACAACTTGGACCTAATGTGAATGTTTCTGTTTTTTTAGGCTTATGTTTTGTCCGTGGCGGTGGATAAATACTGTTGGTATGGCTTACTCCTCTTGTCATCAGAACTCTTCCTGGGAAACTAGCATTTACAATGATTAGAACATGAAAACAACCTAGGATCCATTTTCACACCCTCACTGTACAGCTGAGGGAACTAAAGCACGGGGTTGGTAATGATTTAAAGAATGGAACTTCACAATGGGCATAGTATGGGCTTTGGAATCAGATAGACTTGAATCCCCCACTGAGTAGCTGTGTGAACTTGGGCAAGACAATTAATATTTCTGAGCTGCAGTTTCTACTTCTGTTAAGACAGTTCTCAGGGAAATAGTGTCTGTAAAGTACCTACTCAAAGAGTGAACTCAGGGCNCAGGTTGACACAGTTTCCTTCCAACAACCTTTTTCGTCCTGGTCCTCAATCCCCCAAGTCTATGTGTTTTCCACTTTGTCAGAACTCCTCTTAACGTGATGCCCAGACTGGAAACGACACTCCAAATGAGGACCATTAGCAAGAAACAAACCTGACACTCATTCAGTGAGCGTGTGGTTGCCAGTGCTAACTTAGCCTGTCTCCATATCAGCTGACAACCCCTCCCCCTACTCAGTATCTTTTTAATTTAACTGCTGTGAGGCAGAGGTTCCTACTGTGCAGTCGACTTTGTCTTTTTTAATCTAAGAGCAGAACTTTACATTTCCTCCGATCCATTTTATCCATTCTTTACCCTGGAGACTTGTAGGATTATTCTATCAGAACTATAAAGATGGAAGGAATCATGGGAAGTTATTGCTTAATGGGTACAGAGTTTATGTTTAGGATGATGAAAACGTTTTGGAAATAGAGGTGGTGATCACATAGCATTGTGAATGTAATTCCACAGAAATGTGTG